CACAAAGTTCTTGTGTTTTTCTTGGACATTTGATATCAAAAGACGGAATTCAACCTCCCGCCGATCGTGTTAGTGCAGTACTTGATGTGCCATCGCCAACATCAGTTAAAGATTTACGACGAGCCATTGGACTTTTCAACTGCTTTCGAAAGTACATTCAAAATTTTAGTGCGGAAGTTGACCCAATGACCAAGTTACTGAAAAAATCTGTAAAATTTAAATGGGGAATCGAACAGGAACAGGCTTTTAAGAAAGTTAAGTCATTACTAGTGAACTCTCCAGTTCTTGCGTTCCCGAAGTACAGCCTGCCGTTTTACCTTGCAGTTGACACATCGTGTAAAGGAATAGGATATATGTTATATCAACATCACCCAACGGAAGATACTAGCGAAGAATTACGCGTTATTCGTTTTGGTTCAAAGTCTCTAAGTAAATGGCAGAGGTCTTACGGTCCCACGAAATTAGAGCTTCTTGGTATGGTAACAGCAATATTAGACTGTTCAATGTATTTAAGGGGACATAAATTCATAGTTGAATGCGATCACCAAGCACTTAAGCCACTTTTTCAAAACAGTTAAAAGGAGCAATCTATGAAAGATGGATCGCCATATTACAGCAGTTTAATTTTGAATTGAGATATAAACCGGGTAAACCCATGCAAGTCGCCGACGCTCTGTCACGTGCGCCTAACAAATCGTCAACAACAGGATTTGAAAGTCCGGACCAGCTTGATCCATATTTCCCCTATCACACCGAAAATGTCGGAAATATTATTACACCGAATGGAATGCCTTTTACAAGCTTATTGTGTAGTGACAAATCAAGTGTCACCGACGAGCTACAGCTTAATAATATTGATATTTTGCAGAATTTTTTTAGTAGGCCAGTAAGTGAATCTTTCAAACAAACTGACTTTTTTTTTTTGAATATGATGGCGATACAGGGGAAAACGATGATTGTGTTTCTCGCAAATTTACAAAGAAACGAGTTCGTACGAATCAACCCTTATCATTAGCCGAGAAACCGGTGGTGTCTGACATGTCCGACTCAACTGCAAAAATTTCCGAAAAAGAAAATTCTATACAATCTTCCAATGGGGAAATAAGATTTTCTCAGACTAGTGATGAGAACCTTATGATGAACACTTCAGGCGAAAGTCCTTGTAATGATCAATTTATTACAAATACCGTCGAGGAGAGCTAATCGGCATTAAGCTCAACAAATATATCCGATAGTGATAGCCTAGTTTCGGCAACTGTAGACGATTTGTCAGATGTTAATTTTATTTCGGATGAGCAAACTGTCCAACAGAAAATAGAATCGCTGCAAATTTTCAGAAATTGTGATTTCAGTCCGAAAAGTATAAAACAGTTACAAATTAATGACCCGCAATTTTGCAATATTTTCCGATATTTAGAAAAAGGTGATTTACCACAATCACAAAAACTAGCTCGTAAAGTTCTACTTGAAACAGGAGATTTTTCTTTATTCGATGGTTTGCTTTTTCACACTAGAGTCGCAAGATCTAATTATAAGCGAACACAACAATTTTGTCAGTATCAGCTTGCATTACCTGAAATAGCCGTAAAAACAATTATTTCGCTTTACCACGATTCACCACTTGGAGGCCATGGCGGGATTCAGCATACAGTAGATTTGATAAGGGAACATTATTATTTTTAAAATTTAGCAGGAAAAGTGTCCGACTTCATAAAATCATGTCATGCTTGCCAGTGTCGTAAAATGACTACCAGAAAGACTAAAGCCGGCATTGTTGCTTTTCAGACTCCAATTCGTCCTTTTAAAGTTTAGGAAATTGACCTTTTTGGTCCTGTTCCAGTGTCTAAGTCAGGCAACAGTTACGTGTGTACTGCAGTCGATATGTTTAGCAAGTTTATTTTTACAGAGCCTATACCAAATTCTGACCAAATTACTGTTTCGCATGCACTTTATAAAATAATCACTCAGTTTGGTGTTTTTGATACTCTTATTAGCGATCATGGATCTGAGATGATAGGAAAATGCACAAAAGAAATATGTAGACTTTTAGATATCAAACCAAAATTCACACCAAGTTTTACACATCACTGTTTGGGAACTTGCTAACGCTCACACAGAACCTTAGCAGAGCGAATTACACCGTATTTGTTGACCAATACAAATTGGGAGGATTTTATTCCAAGTATCGTCTTTTCTATGAACAACTCCGTGAATGAAGGAACAAAATATTCACCATTTGAGATTATCTATGGACAAAGGCCATCATTTCCCTTATCGTGTGTAACAAAAACCGCATTTTCAGAAATTCCAAAAGATTATCACAATTATATTCGAGAGTTTGCTGACAAACTTGAATTTATTCGAAATCAAGTGCGTGAAAATTCAGAAAACTCTAAAATATCAATGATTGAACGGGCTAATCAGACAGCTCATAATCTGTCTCTAGAAAAAGGGGATTATGTGTATTCAGGAAAAGATCCCAGAGGGGCTGGTCAGAAGTTTAAGCTTAAACAAGCAGGGCCGTATATTATTCATCGCATAGACAGTCCTCATCTTTATTCGTTAATGGAACCCAAAACAAACAAAGTTATTCCACAACCAGTTCACATTAACCGTTTAAAGCCAGCTTATATTCGTGTACCAAATCCATGTGAATATTTTATAGATCGTGTCATAAGCAAACAAGACACCGTGGATACTGCGTCAACAAGTCGTGATAATTCAACAAGTGACAAATCTAGCACAAACACCGACGAAGCTCCAGAAGTGCCAAATCTACGGCGATCAACAAGACAGAGACAAAAACCTGTTCGCTTTAGAGATGACAGTTTCGTTACTTTATCAGGCACCGATACAAGTTCTGCGTTAGACGGGACATTATTGAAAGTGAAAAGATTTTTAGCAAAGAAAAATCACGATGGAAATATTCGTTACCTTGCACATTTAATTGGGGAACCGGTACAGAACGCTATCTGGATCGATGAAAATCAGTTAGGACCGAAGGCGCGTGCCTTATTAAAGTCAAGACCACCTCCAATTATACCATAGATTTATGTCTGTGAGATTTATCTCATGACATCGCAATAAGAAGGCTGTATATGAAATATTTTGCTGTGAGATTTATCTCACGCATATCGGACATATCGAAAGTTACAAAACACGATTTACTATTTGATTACTGTTAGAAATTTACCTGAACTGTTTTGAAGATACATTTTATTGATATATTTTATTTATGTGTTAACAATTTTATGATTAGTATATACCATTTATTGCAAACATATGTTCAAAGATGTTTTTTTTTTGTCACAGAACTGTTACTTTTTTCTTCTAATTTGAATATTACGGTATATAAAGTTTTGAGAAAAGTATTTTCATTTTGAGAACTTCCATTTTACAATTTTTATAAAACTTTCTGTTTCGGCTCATTAAGACAGTTAATTTGTGTAATTGTTAAAAGATTTAAACGGAACAGTTAATTATTTTCTGAAATACACTGAGTGCGAAAATACCGTCAAAGTTCACTATGTTAATGATTTTTTTGTTGGTCCACATGTACATATGTTGATTAGACTAGATAGGACAGCTATATTATAGGATTTCTTGTTGTATTTTTAAGTAGTTGAGTTTCTAATGGTTAGTTTTTTTTTGTATACCTCAACATGTGAAATATTTTGAAAAACCATAGAGGTAGAAGTTAAAGTTTTGAAATGAAGTACGGAGATACTTAAATTTACTTGTTAGTAAATATTAATGAAGATTTGTTTTGGTATGATAACGAACGTTATGTATGACTGATTGGATGGAAATCTGAGCATTAAATTTTTAAATCTGTCTGTGTACAGTAAGAAAAGAAATCTGATTTTTGTGTTAGTGGTGCAAGAGATGACTCAGAAATAACCCTGGTTGATAGTCTTGTTCTGCTGAAATTTATTTGTTTCACTTTATTGTTTTATTTACTCGAGAGCATGTGTGTATGATAGGGATGGTATACCGTAAAAGTCGGCGCAATAGTAGATTTTTTTTTCTCATAGTGTAACCTATAAATTTTGTTCATTATAAGGTGTATCTAACCATTAGCCAGGAGCAGGGACTCCACTGAATCTAATCTCGTACTGTATATCTACCACTTTTTAACAAGCACACTAAAATTCAGTAAAATGATGATATGCTATACTTTATATGATTTCGCTACATCATATTTATGTTGAAGTTAAAGAGTAACCAGCATTTGGTCATACGTATGTTGAAGTTATTTACATGTCTGCGAACATGAGAAATATAAAACTAGTAATAGTAAAAGATGATGAAGCTTAAAGGTGCCTGTTATTTTGTATGTTGTATTGTCATATATAAATGAAAACTTGATTTTTGTTGGGGTACGAATTCAACATTTTCGAAAAATATGGGAATTTTTCATTTTTGGGCGGGGATGTTGTATATCTGTATGTTGAATCCGTACTTTCCGGAACTGTTGTATTGCCTTGTCCGTGATTGGTGTGATTATTACTTGTATCAGCCTCTTTTTGTGTTTGAATCCAAAGTAAAAGGATCATAATTTGAAAGCTCTTCGTTTTATTTATATTATACTTGTCTCTAGTCCCCCAAACCTAAGTCAGGTATATTACACCATGGAGTACTAAGTAATTTAAACAGAACAAGACCGCGCAAATTGAATTAAAGTAGCGCACAAAAAATAACAATAAGTAGACTTTCTCCATGTTCCTATAAATAATGCCTGATTTCAAAGATAAGATAATAGAGTAATACGGTTCTTGGTATGATGATATTTGTACTTTATTAGAATCTGAAGTCTGTGTGGGAGAGCTTTTTTAAAAGCTTATATTTGTTTATAGTATTGTTTATACATAACTTATATCGACCCTACTTGATAAGTACAGACTTTACTGATGTAATCTCATTGCAATTTATACCATAAATCCCAATATAATACATAATATTAATACAATAAACAAATACATATTTGCCGACTGCCCAACGTAATCTAGAGGACACCGGATTTATTACGAATAAATAAACATGATAGCATGTGAAATATAACAGCATGTGTGACATAACCATAAAACATAAATTACTTTGGTGTTATAAATAATAAATTATCAAAATTTCTCCATCTTTAACGATCCCGCCGGCCAGGAAAAACCAACAAATGTCGGAAACCTGTGTCCAAATCCGTTGCTCGAAAGACCGTTTCCGGAGTCATACTTGGACAGTATACTTTAAGATATGACATATGACAACAACAAAAATTCATACATGAGCAAATACATTGCACAAACATTATAAAAACCTAATAAAGAACGAGCTCTGGAATGTTATAAAGAAACGATATATATAAATATCGTTAAGAAACTTGACTGTATCAGTGTTGCGTAGAGAATGATTACTACACGGGAATATATTTCCCGCTCATTTATTACATGTACATGTAAACATGTGATTAATCACACGATTAATCAGACGAAACGTTAGTACAATAACTTTCCTCTATACTGCCAAACGCGGAAAATTATAATTACCAACAGTTCACAAAGTTTCCTGGTCGCCATTTTGTCGAAGGATTATTTTGTCAAGGTAATTTACAATTTTTCAACATAAAAACAATCATACTTAAGCGTAATTTCAGAAAGATTGCTTAAGGCTACATGAGTGACATTGCTTATCAACTGCTGCATATACATGTTATTTCTAATCATAGAAACATGACATTGTCAATACTTCCATGACCTTTATATAACCTGGAATGATCTTATGTTATGCATTCCCCAGAAAGTTGGAGTCTAAAACATATCAATTTATTAATTCCGAATTTAAAAAAATAGATGAACTAAATAACAAAATAATTCCAAACAACTAAAACAAAACAAAACACATATAAAGAAAATAACATAACATAACGCAACATGAAATAACAACAAAAAATAAACTCAACAGAAGAAAAGAAAAGAAAAATAACATAATATAGCATAATATAGCATAACACCTAACACAACACAACAAATACATAATCCACTCAAAATAAAGAAATGGTGGAAAAGTGAGTCAAGGAAGAAGTCATTGTCTCCTACTTACATCTTTGAGATATATTTGTTTTAGTGGGGAGGTAGAGATGTACCTTTCCAATCTTACCCAGCTCCCTTCTATCCGCTGCTTAGAAGTCCAGGCATGGGGCGAATTACATTGCAATGTAATGCATTATATTACAATTACTTTGACAATACCATGCATTAAATAACAATTACAATTACATTCATTTATCAAAGTAAAGCATTATATTACAATTACTTTTGCAAAGTAATGCATTGAATTACACATTACATTTGTAAATTAAGTGAATAGAAAAATCAAACATTTTGAAAAACAACATCAAGTCACAAAAGATTCTAGCATATGCAGTAACTGTCCCATGTATTGATTTCAGTATCCATGTAAAATGTCTATTCAATACGGCTATTACATTTTTGATTATTTTAACCTAATATTAACTATATATAAATATATACTTTTATAAATATACTTTTTATTTTTTTTAATTTCAATCAAAATATTTACTGAGAATTTCCTTCCTAATTATATAATAAACATAGAGCTTAATTAATGATCAATTGTCAAACTGTTGAACATTTGATTGTAAAACAAACAAATTAGTGTTTTACAACAATGTTCAATTATCTTTTATTTAATCATGACAAGTTATTCTTTGATCTTTTTAGAAAACAAAGGAATACAGTAATGCTTTTGATGTATCAATCTTTTTATGCAGGAAAATGTATGAAATCAAATGAAATAAGAAAAAAAGAACTATATCTGATATTGTATTATTCACTTACAGAGTTGTCATTTGGTAATTTCAGTAGCGATTTATGAAGAGGATGAAAAATGAATAGAAAATAGAAAACCAATATTCAAATGATTATGTTCTTAGTTAGTCAAGAAATCTACAATTCAGCTTTAGTAAATCTAAAAGAATATGTTAAAGATATATAATATGTGAAAAAAAGTAATGCCATGTAATGCAATGTAATGCATGAAATTACACAACTTTTTTGCTAAAGTAATGCATTAAATTACAATTACTTGTAATGCAAAAATTGCTGCATTTACACATAACATGCAATTACTTGGGGAAATGTAATGCATTACCATGCATTACAATTACAAATTTGCATTACCCCATGCCTGCTTAGAACCATATAAAGTAAATAACATAACAAAACATAACATAACATAACATAACATAACATAACATAACATAACATAACATAACATAACATAACATAACATAACATAACATAACATACTTAACATAACATAACATAACATAACATAAAATTACACAACAAATAAATAATACACTCGAAATCAAGAAAAGGTTGAAAAGTGAGATACGGAAGAAGACATTGACTCTCACTTTTTATCTTTGAGACATTTTTTTTGGAAGGGGGGAGGGGGGGGGGTGGAGATGAACCGTTCCACTCTTACCCAGTTAACTTTTCCCGCTGCTTATAACCATGTATGTATGAAGATAAATTATGTCTCCCGTGGTTTGAGGTTACCATGGTTACTGTTAGTTCTTTCAGAATCTATGCAAAAAAACAAGATGATAATTAATGTTTGTCGAATACTATTCATATGACATTTTGCAATTAAAATAATAAGTTAGAAAGTTATTCAATAAGAATTAAAAGTAGATAATGAAAAGAACTGTTTATAGCAAAATTAGATATCTACAAATCAGTCAACATGGCAGAAATCATAAGTTTGATTACATGTATGAGTTATTGTCATTTGTTTCCTGATATGGATTTAGTTCGATTTTTTAAGCGGAACCTTAGTAGATAAAGAGGAACTGAATATCACAAAGGATCAATAAATATGTAAACATAATCATAATTGTAATTTGACTCCTTATAGGAGATGAATGATGATTTTGACTATTTTTAGTGTTTTTACCTGACACTATGTCTTTAAAAAACTATAATGGATCGACCGATACTTTTAACAGCAGAAGAGATCAGAAACACAAATTCAGTCAATAGTCAGTATGGATGAAATCGTCTATCGACTTATTTTTTACTTAGGCCTTCACATTGTCTAAGGTTCAGAGTACTATATTACGATACTAAGTCTGAATTGCAAAAAAAAAAAAACCCAAAAAAACCAATCCTTTGAAATGTACTTTTTTTGTAACTTACAAAAAACCCTTAAAAACCAGTATTCATTATTAAATACAAAACTCCACGCATAGCATACAATTTGAGTCAACATGTGTAAATTCATCGCACATAAATAACGCAGTGAAAAATGCTTCAGGTTCTGTTTTTGATAAAAAAAAAATTCAAAGATTTGGAAATGAAAAAAATTATGTAAACATATTGTATTAAAAAACTCTGTTCTGTCAGAACTTTGGAGATACACATAATATATAATTTTGTTAAAACTATTATTTTTGTACTGGTATAAACTTGAGCACTCCTCATATGACCTGTTGATCAGAACCTATAATGATGAATATAATCTAGCAGTACCCAGTCAAATAATTCAAGATACTTTGTACAGTGAAATCAGTCCATTAACCTATCTATTTGCAATTTGAAAATTTAATATAAATAAATTAAAATTGTACGTGAAGAAAAGTCTCCAGAAGAACTTTCTAAAGACATGGCTAAATATAAGCAACAGTTATTTTAAAGATACTAGAAAATGTAGCACATATTACAAATTCAAATTACTTTCAGTTATTAAAGTCACTTCAATATGAAACATTTAAACAACAGAAGAACCTTGACAAAATTCAGGTTGAGTAACCACAGTTTTAGAATAGAAACTGGAGGATATGAACGAAAACAAAATACAATCACAGGAAAACTTGAGCTTCTGTCTGGATGTGAATGGTTCCGTCAACACTGTTCCCATAACTTAATAGAAAATGAGCGCCTTCAAACTAATTTAATCCCGCCACATTCTGCATTTGCCTGTCCCAAGTCAGGCGCCTGTTATTCAGTAGTTGTCGTTTGTTGCTGTATATCATATTTTTTTTTCGTTCATTATTTTGTACATAAATCAGGCCGTTAGTTTTCTCGTTTGAATTGTTTTACATTTGTCACTTCGGGGCCTTTTGTAGCTGACTATGCGGTATGGGTTTTGATCATTGTTGAAGGCCATACGGTGACCTATAGTTGTTAATTTCTATGTCATTTGTTCCCTTGTAGATAATTGTCTCATTGGCAATCACACCACATCTTCTTATGTTATATGCATTTAATTCTAAGGTGCCTACTCTATAATGGACCAAGATTAAAATTCTTAGAAAATTTATTTCCAAAGTTTTCGAATCTGAAAAAAAACATCAATTTAGAACACATTTTTATCTGGATCATGACAAATTAATATTTGAATTTTGATACAGTATTTAAAATGTATCTAAATACAAATTTTTCAGATGAGACAAACAAAAAAGAGATAAAAGATAAAGTGAACTAATGTCTACCTCCTCCCATGGTTTCAAGTTCTTAATATCGTTTTTATATTTGTTCTTAATCATTTTTAATTATTAATAATCAGTATAATGTATGTTAGATTACATGTGTTGTTTGTGTGGATAGTGCATGAACTTTATGATTTGTATTAATGTGTATGTTCTAAGTGGACCCTGTAGATCATTTACACTTTCATACACCTCTCTCATTCATCTCATTCCGATTATGTTAATAAGGTACAGAACAATAACACACTTATAAAAGTAGTCATGACTTCATTGGTGTTGAGGAGAGGTCTAGATTGCTTGATAAAGAGATATAACTCTATATTAACAATTGACACTTTTACAACGTAGAACAAAGAAATACATGTAATAATATCACCCCTTGAGTCTTTTCATAGTCTTTGCATATGTTCAATAATCTCAATTAACTAGTGAGCCAAAATAATCGTCATTGGCTTATATATTTCATACAAAAATTATGGTTTCAATCTTAATTCATAAAAATAACGTCTCTATTCATGATTGCAAAAAACAATTACGCATTTCATTGTCACCATTTTTTCAGATTTAAGGGTTAGATAAAAAAAAAACTCGAAATCAAACTCAGACTCCTAGTCTACCTAATGCTGTTGTTGCTCCTAAATATAAAAACCATTATTCTTACAATTTTGTAGACGTTTTTATGTAATTTGCATGACCTGATACGAAATACACTAACTCTGGTGTTGACATAATCTTAATAATAGATCCTTTTAGAAAGTAGTATAAATGACAGAATATTTTTTTAGTTTGAAATTATTTTTATTACAGAAATATGGCAGACAATTTCTGTGAACCGTGTACTGCGCGTGGTATGACTTCAACAGCATTCCAATGGTGTACCGAATGTGAAGAAGCCCTGTGTTCCGAATGTACAGAGGCGCATAAAGTTCAAAAAATGTCAAGAAATCACCATTTGGTTGAGATAGGTAAAATACCGGAAAAAATAGATTTATCTTATAATTGTTCAAAGCATCAACATTTACCTTTTGACTATTTTTGTGTTGATCATGATGTCATTTGTTGTAAGGAATGTTGGCCAAAAGATCACCAAGCATGCAATAACGTCACATCCATTGACATTGCATCAAGGAATTTTAAACAATCGCAGTCGTTCCTGGATTCTGAAGAACAGTTGCGCTTTATTTTGGAAGCATTAGAAAAATTGAGCAAGCATTGTACAGATAATGGAAGTCGAATTAAAATAGAAGAAACACAAATTTTGAATCAAATAAAAACACTGAAAGAAAATCTTATAAAACAGTTGGAAGTTTTAGAAGAGTCACTTTTAAAACAACTAACTGAAAAGAAAGACAAATATGTAACCAGTTTAAAACGACAGGAGAAATGTATACGGGACTTAGTAAACTCTACAAAAGCTAAAAAGCAAGCATTGGAATTTGTTAGAGATCATGGTTCTGAAAAACAAGCCTTTGTTTATATTCATTCATCAAAACCAGTTTCAGATGAAGTTGAACACAAAGTTAAACAGCTTACCGAATCGCTTGTAGATGCCAGTTTCAAATTCGTTGAAATCATCTCAAATGAAAAATTAACAGATTTCGGGTCAATAGAATTAAAGGAAACACCTTGTTCCTTTCCGTTTGTCCCCTACAAGCAGCGCCAGTCACAGGTTCCAATTGTTCTGAAGCGCCAGATAATAGCATTCACGTATCTCTACGACATCGACATGAAAGGCGAAACATTAAAAGGAGTAACTGGCATGACGATAACAGATAATAACACATTGGTTTTCTGTGATATGGATACGGAAAAGGTTCATTTCTGTGACGAAAAAGGTATCTACCAATCTTCTATCAGATCTCCATATCAGCCATGGGATATAACAGCAATACCTGGTATAAACACTGCTGTAATATCGAATAGAAATGATCCGTACATACAGTTTCTAGACATCGGAAGACGTAGGATATCTAATCATGTAGAAGTGAAACGTTGTACACGTGGTATTGCCGCATCAAAGGAAAACATATTTGTAGCAGTTAAAGGAAAAATACAGGTCTTAGACTTGGTTGGAAATTTTAAGAGAACAATAAGTCTTAAACAAGAACAGTTTGTGATTAGGTATATGTCTATTTGCTCAAATGGGAACATTTGTTATTCAAACAACAGTGACGTTCATTGCATTACATCAGATGGGTGTCCTGTTTTTTCCTATGCTTCATCTGACCTCCGTAATCCACGAAATATGATATCAGATAATGCTGACAACATATACGTTTTGGGTCGAGATTCAAATAACATTCATAAACTAAATTCTACTGGAACTTTAGTCGACGCTTTATTTGAAGATTATATATACGATCCTCTTGCGTTTTGTGTCAGTAAGGACATTTCTAAATGTTACATTGCACATAAAGACGGAACAACAATATCCATACTCAAAACATATAGGTAACATTTTGAGGGAGTTTTGTAAATAACTTTTTAAAGTGTTTTGATAAATTGCACGACAAAGGTTCGATTAGATTTTACATTGAATCTTAATGGAATAAAAATTTTATGTATGAAGACATTTCAATGTTATTTGTTGAGTTTTAAACATTTTATTGATTATTTTCTAAAAATATGTCGCTAAATTAAACCTTCAATTGGTCTCACACTTTCGAGAGTTTTGCATTGACCCCCTCCTTTTTTGTTGAAGATATTATTTTTCTAAAATATTGCAACTTATTTTCCCTTACAATAAATGTCGTTCATACGTGCTTCCCGTTGTAATAAGAGTAACGGGACATCACTGCAACCGACATTTATTGCAAGATTGAATTAATAATAGCAAGAACACTTAAAGAAAGGGACAATAAGTTGAAATATTAAAGAAAATTCAAAACAAATCTATGAATAAGTAGGTAGAGGTAGCCCCAAGTTTTGTGTATAGTATTAGCCAGTTAGAGGTAATCGGATTTCAGTTATTTACTGTCCCAAAACAGGAGTTGATAAAAAATAAACATGTAGTGTAACGTTGAATTTTGTCAAACACGGCTTAAATATGTTTTTGCCTTTACTATTCTGTTTGGTTTTCAGCAAATGAAGACAAAATGTTAGAATTTGTCGCAATCGGTCAACTGAAACAGAACTTTTATTGCAAACCTAAAGTTTATATTTCTGTCTTTTACGTTGTTAAATATAAGTAAGATTATTATAATCCTCACTATTATGAGGACAACATATCAAGGTCGGTTGAAACCTGAAAGAAATTTACACTATAAAGCATCTGGTCAGTTAAGTCCTTTCAAGCTTATATTTTGCAGTTTTTATACGACCGCAAAATGTTTGCGTTCGTATTATGTTTATTGTTATTGCGATATCTGCGTCGTCGTCCGAAGATATTTTGTTTCCAGACAATAACTTGTGTATAAGTGTATGGATCTCTATGAAACTTTACCACAAAATTCCATACCTCAAAAGGAAGGTTGGGATTGATTTTGGGGGTCATGGCCCAAACTGTCTAGGAATTAAGGGCCGAAAAGGGAAAACAAACAAGAACTTTCTGGTTTCTGGACAATAACTTGAGTATAAGTCTATGGATCGCTATGCATTTGTACTAAAATATTCAATACCATAAAAGGAAGGTTGGGATTGATTTTGGGGGTTATAACCCTAACCGTTTAGGAAAAAGGGTGCCAAAAACAATACTTTTGTAATACTTTGTATAAATTGCTTATTTCTTGACTAATTTCAATGGGGTTTAATTCAAAGTCTTAAATTATTAGGTTCTTTAATATGCTGAATCCAACCGGGTATTTAGAATTTAGATTTCGGGCCCTGTTTATGAATTTGTCCATATTTAGGTCTAAAGGGTCCAAAATTAAAATTTGTTTGATTTCATCAAAAATTGAATTATTGGTGTTCCTTGATATGCCGAATCTTACAATTAGATCCAAAGGGTCCAAAATTAAACTTTGTTTGATTAAAAAAAAATGAATCTAGGGGTTCTTTTATATGCTGAATCTAACTGTGTATTTAGATTTTGATTTTGGGACCGGTTATCAAATTGGTCTCCATAAAGTCAAAAGGGTCCAAAATTAAACTTTGTATGATTTTAACAAAAAGAGAATTCAAGTGGTTCTTTGATATGCTGAATCTAAACATGTATTAAGATTTTTGATCTCGGGCCCAGTTTTCAAGTTGGTCCAAATTTGGGTCCAAAATTAAACTTTGTTTGATTTCAACAAAAATTGAATATGTGAGGTTCTTTGATATGCTGAATCAAACTGTGTATTTAAATTTTTGATTTTGGGCCAGCTTTCAAGTTGATCCAAATCAGGGTCCAAAATCAAACTTTGTTAGATTACAACATAAATTGAATATATGTGGTTTTTTGATATGATAAATCTAAGTGTGTATTAGAATTTGGATTTTGTGCCCTGTTATCAAATTGATCCACCTTGAGGTCCAAAGGGTCCAAAATTAAACTTTGTTTGATTTCATCAAAAAATGAATTCTTGGAGTTCTTTGACATGCTGATTATTACAATGTATCTACATTTTGGATATTGGACCATAATAGGTAAATGTCCAATTTCAAATTTTTAAGTTCTTAGACCACATTCATTCTGTGTCAGAAACTATGCTATGTCAAATATGTAATCACAATCCAAACTCAGAACTTTATTGCTCAGTAAATAGAAATTATAAGTGGAGTCATAGTTAAAAAATATATTCGCATCAAATCTAATTTCAGAGAAGAAATTATGTATAAATATAGTTTGAAATTTTCTCTTCATTTTTAGATATTTTGAATACAATTGAATTTAATATTTATAGATATTTCAAAGGCTTTGTATTCAGTCTTACATCTAAACCCTTCAGGATGAAAGTCCCGCGCAGCATTTTATTTCTTTTGTTATGCCGTAACACAATAGACTATTTTTATATTACCGACTTTTGATTCCGGAATTCATATTTTGTCGACAGGTTACCTTATCTGTGGTTGGACATCCTGGTACTCGGTCAAGTAAGAGCAACTTAAAAAAGTAAAATCAAGATTACAATTGGGACAATGGGGGTGGGGGGGGATTAACTGTTTAATGTTTTTTATTCATGACAAAATCATGGGAAAACAGTAAACTTTCCGCCCAAATTACACCTATTATGTGTTGGATTTTACTGTTTTTGGTTGCTGGTTGCTCTTACCTGCCCTACCACATAGTAGGTAACCTGTCGAAAAATTATTTAATCCGGAGTCAAAAGTCGGTAATATGAAAATAGTCTATTGTAACAGGTCAGGAAAAGGGCGTTGCGCGCACGAACATGTTTAACTAGCCACATTCTAAATGTGCCTGTCCTAAGTCAGAACCTGTAGTTCAGTGGGTGTCGTTGGTTGGTGTATGTCATATTTCTTTTTTCGTTTATTGTTTTGTCATAATTTAGACTGTTGGCATTGTTTCACACTGTTTCCAGCCGGAGCCTTTCATAGTTGACTATATGGTATGATTTTAGATCATTGTTGAAGGCTGTATCGGTGACCTATTGTTTCTAACATCCGTTTTTTTTAACTGTTTGATAGTTGTTTCATTGATTATCATACCACATCCCCTTATTTTGTAAAGGAATGAAAACAATCGAGTGAAAAATAGAAACCAGGTTGTTATGATGACTATTTTCTACTGTGGACGAATTGTTCGTCTTTTACGAATCAAAAGTCAGTATACAACTGAAAGATGTGGTATGATTGCCATGAGACATCTATCCAACAGAGACCAAATGGAGGCGATATATTCAACTATAGATCACTGCTTGGCCTTCAACAATGAGGCTATTATAGTAAGCTATGAAAGATCCAACCATTACAAAATGTAAAACAATTAAACCGAGAAAAAACAACGGCCTGATTTTTCTAAATACAGCACAAACAACATTTTCCAAAAGACCAAAAAAAATACACCATTTATTACATCGGTGACCCGTTTATTTGGCAATCGCCAATGGCAGTCAGCAGGGTTTAAGAACATTTGTTGTTCGACCTGTTAGTCAAATGCGTTTTGTTAAAATATACTTTTTCACTTTTTTTATCTTTTGGAAAATGTTGTTTGTGCTGTATTTAGACCCCTCTCAGAAGAAATTTGTTTTGCATGCACACGTATAAAAATTGCGGTTTTTATCCAACGCAATCATAGGTTTGAACGTTGTTTTCAATTTAGACTTTTTTATATATATATATATATATATAAATATATATACATAATGTGGCGATATTAAACATAATTGTAAGCGCTCATATTTATCCCAGTGGTGTAGCAGCAAATCATAAAAAACCTGTAAACACTTCAAATGATCCAGTAGTAAGTGTCACAGCAAGACGCAATGAAGTATGTAGAGTAAAAAATATCTGAGAGTCCATATTGGACACATAGGATCATTGACAGAGTAATAATATCTTTAGTAATTCTAGAAAATGGGAACTGTAATGATCGACTTAATATACTCTTGAAAGTACAGTTTAAAGATATCTCTTAAAGTTTTTTTTGTCGCAGAAATTTGTGTTTACGTCTTTTATTTTAATTAGATTTGTAGGTGTACCAAAGCTTGTCTTCATATTTCATAATTTTAAACAGACGTAGAAATACTTTGTATTGCAAATACTAGTTATACATAATTATGAATGGTTAATAAATTCTTTGCAATTCTGTATAGAATGACTCTTTAATTCAAAAGTCGAAAACAATGCCATGGCAAAAAACGAAAAACGACCAAATGTCAAACAACAGTACACACAACACAAAGTATAAAACTAAAGACTGAGCAACATGAACCCCACTAAATATCGGGAATGATCGCAGGTGCTCTGGTAGAAAAAGGCAGATCCTTCTCGACATGTAGCACCCGTCGTTTTGCTCATGTAAATACAAAACCATTAATAAGTCTAATTTGGTAGGTCACATTAGAGAAAAGTAAGACAGTATTGTGATTATGACAATTGGAACTTATCCGTCGTCATCTGTGAAACAGATATTCCATAACGATGTACCAAGTAGTGAGGGTGTCCGTAAAATATTCGAAGGGAAGATTTCAACCTCACCACTTGGAACGCTTGGTTCAATAGCTTCCATGTAAACAGCAACCCTCTATCAAAGAATTCAGTATAGGAACCTCGTATCAAATGAGAGATGTTTACTACATATGCATGCAGGCACTGCAGAAATGTTGTTACATAGAAATGAATAGTTAACAATTGGGAAGCCGAAATCATCTCTTTTGTCATAAATGTGCACTTAATATAATTTTGTACTATATGTATAAGAGATGAGAATTGAAATACTCACGGAATACTGAATTTATCCAATTCATGATCATGGTGATTGCGATTGTTTACAAATTCTTATGAAAATGGTGGTGTTTGAGGCTATCAGGTAAAGAAATCTAGTTAAATAAAGATATTTTACACGTCCTGGAAAACGTATGTATATTGAAAGTTTAAACATAAGAATATGACAATTGTGTTTTCTTATCTTATGCATTTAAATTCTAGAGCAAATTGCATTTTCTATGTCATATGAACTTTTTATTCAAAAAG